GATTATAAAAAGTACTCGGGTGCCAACGATGGAATGTAGTTTAACGTTAATGCACTGAATATGGGTTCATTTCTGAAGGTGGGAGACTTAGCTCATACAATATGGGAAGCCTTTTCTCAGGTTTTAACTGGTAGATGAGAGTGAACAGGGCGTGTACAGACAGGGAGACAGTAGTAAACATTATCTCCCTGAAAAAGTAAAGGAAAAATATTGGAAAAAACGGCAAAACCTTTTAGAATTTTTGTTGTTTAAGTATTCTCAAACTGGAAATAAAACGCATTCATATACAGAAATTAATTGTATGAGATTAAATGAAAACAAGGCTGGTCTAATAATAGGAGTTACATATTGGGCAGAAATATCTGGGACAAACACTGTTACCATTTTTTTACCAGAACAAAATGGATTAACAAAACAATGAAATACTGAGACAGAATATTTATATTCGAATTAACTGAAAATTAAGCGACACATTACGGAGCCAACACGGGATAATGCAATATTAGACTTAGTGCTGGCCAACAGGGAGACACTAGTAACAGCAAAACAGGATGAAACATCAAAATAGGATAAAAAAAGAAATAGGGAGCGAGGGACCAGTGATCATAAGGATATTAACCAGACCACACACTAGAAAATGAAGGGACGGCGACGTTTGGGTACGTCCTGGATCATTCTCGGCATTCACATTCACAATCGACTTGAGAATGGTCCAGGACGGACCGCAACGTCGTCGTCCCTTCATTTTCTAGTGTGGTCTGGTCAACATATTTCAGCCACGTTATTGTGACTCATCATCTGCATAAGGATATTGTCACGATTTGACGATAAGATGGACAATTTGTGAGAGGAATAAAGTGTGCTGGGTCGTCAGGCTTGTATAACGCTGGTGTAGAAGGACTGAGAATCTCCTCAGTCTTCTCTTCAGTCTTCTCCTCAGTCCCACCTCAGCTTCGGGGAGGTGGACGGGCGGAGCTCTGAGCACGGAAGGTGGTGCAGGGATGTCCTCCAAACATTGCTAACTTTTAGACGGGTTGAACATTCAATAGTTACAACGTAAGGCTCAGTTGTCACTGACACTTCAGGCGGACCTCCTGGAAGGTGGAGAGTGGCCAGAGTCGCCACACTGACGCCAAGGCTCCTGTGGCCTCCTGTATTTCTCATTAAGTCAAAAGTCTAAGTCAGAAGACCAAATATTCCTCGTCACACACACACACACACACACACACATATATATATATATATATATATATATATATATATATATATATATATATATATATATATATATATATATATATATATATATATATATATATCCGCGCCATTCTAATAACAAAAATATTAACATTTAGGCCACGTAGTGATATTTTTTTATATTTTTGATCACCAATTAGGCGCGTGTAATATGGTAGTTACGGGTGCTAATTTTCTCCTTGATAAATATCTTTAGTTACAGTCGCCTGTCGAAACGCCAAGATATCCTCCCCCTCCCCCCATGGTCAACTTTTGAGTTGGATTGCTGCAATAACATTTTCGTAATTTTAATCCTTTTGTTTTCAAATTTCCAAAAAGTTTCATTTCTTCCTTTAAGTGAAATATGACTTATAGTTATGTCAATTCTTATTTTTATGGCATTTCAAAATTATAATTAATTGTAGCTGATTTTGGTACATATTTATTTGTCAACCATAAAGCATTTACCTCATTGGACTTATACGCCATAAGTCCAGTGAGGTAAAACTGGTGAGTAATTTATTTACTTTTAATCATGTTTTTTGTTTTGTTTAGTCTACTGAGGACGCGCGCGCGAGCGCTCCCTCGTGGATACAGCCTCACAGCACAGACTCATTAATGAGAGTGAGTGAGACGCTGATAGACTAACTGTCCATCACTGTACAGAGCAGATCATGCGTCCATTCCTTCCACACCGCCTTCCCCTCCTCCAATGCTTCTCGTCCCACCCTCTTCTTCCTGCTCCTTCCTATCTTCCTGCTGCTGCTTCCTGTCCGCGTTCTCACCCCCTGGTCGCTGGAGTGAGGGTGAGAAAGCGCCAAGATACCGTGGGCAGCAGTGGCCCACGCTGGAGTAGTGGCCCACGCTGGAGTAGTAGGCCACGCTGGAGTAGTGGCCCACGCTGGAGTAGTAGGCCACGCTGGAGTAGTAGGCCACGCTGGAGTAGTGGGCCACGCTGGAGAAGTAGGCCACGCTGGAGTAGTAGGCCATGCTGGAGTAGTGGGCCACGCTGGAGTAGTAGGCCACGCTGGAGTAGTGGGCCACGCTGGAGTAGTGGGCCACGCTGGAGTAGTAGGCCACGCTGGAGTAGTAGGCCACGCTGGAGTAGTGGGCCACGCTGGAGTAGTGGGCCACGCTGGAGTAGTAGGCCACGCTGGAGTAGTGGGCCACGCTGGAGTAGTAGGCCACGCTGGAGTAGTAGGCCACGCTGGAGTAGTGGGCCACGCTGGAGTAGTAGGCCACGCTGGAGTAGTGGGCCACGCTGGAGTAGTGGGCCACGCTGGAGTAGTAGGCCACGCTGGAGTAGTGGCCCACGCTGGAGTAGTAGGCCACGCTGGAGTAGTGGCTCACGCTGGAGTAGTGGCCCACGCTGGAGTAGTGGGCCACGCTGGAGTAGTGGCCCACGCTGGAGTAGTGGCCCACGCTGGAGTAGTGGGCCACGCTGGAGTAGTGGCCCACGCTGGAGTAGTGGGCCACGCTGGAGTAGTGGCTCACGCTGGAGTAGTGGCCCACGCTGGAGTAGTGGCCCACGCTGGAGTAGTGGGTGTAGGGGCTGGGTCAACACTATGTAAGAGTGTGCAGTGTGAGGGGATGCCAGAGCGGTCACTGCGCTGCCCTCCGCAGTGTCGTGACCTCAAGGCTGATAAGTGACCGCAGGAGGGTGCTGGAGCTGCCCCACGCCCTAATGTGTTGTCACTGGCCAAACCTGCGCGCCAACACGTAGTAGTGTGATGACCTAATGTTCAAGGGCCTCCCTCTCTCTCAAAACAATCCAAGGACCTCTCGCAATACTATCCAAGGGCCTCTTTTAATACTATCCATGAATCCCATTCTCACTACTATCCACGAGTCTCTCAAGATAATACCCAACGTTCCTTTCAATACTATTTGAGATTCGCTGTCATTACTGTTCAAAATTCTCACAGAATTCTTTTCAGCTAACATCACTATACACTGCGACGCCAACTAACATCACTATACACTGCGACATCAAATATACTGTAGACTGCAGCATCAACATGCTGAAGACTGCGGCCTTCACAATCACACACGCGGTTATATTCCCATAAACATATTTACCAGCGCTATTTTTAGCGGTGCGGCAGGAGTAGGAGGAGGAGACTAAGGTTAGCGTCCCGGCGCTATATTTAGCTTATGACAGGTTCCGCGGCCAGTATTCCAGGCTCAGTCCTATATTGGGGGTAATTGGCACCCGCCCCTCGCTTGTCAGGCACCTGCTGGTATGCTTACCTAGTTGTGCTTGCGGGGGTTGAGCTATGGCTCTTTGGTCCAGCCTCTCAACTGTCAATCAACTGGTGTACAGATTCCTAAGCCTACTGGGCTCTATCATAGCTATATATGAAACTGTGTATGGAGTCTGCCTCCACCACATCACTTCCTAATGCATTCCATTTGTCAACTATTATAACACTAACAAAATTCTTTATAATGTCTCTGTGGCTCATTTGGGCACTCAGTTTCCACCTGTGTCCCCTAGTGCGTGTGTCCCTTGTGTTAAATATCTATATCTACCCCTATCAATTCCTTCAGAAGTTTGTACATGGTGATCATGTCCCCACGAACTCTTCCGTCTTCCAGCGACGTGAGGTTTAATTCCAGTATTCTCTCCTCGTAGCTCATACCTCTCAGCTCGGTTACTAGTCTAGTGGCAAACCTTTGAACCTTCTCTAGTTTAGTCTTATGCTTGACGAGATATGAACTCCATGATGGAGCTGCATACTCCAGGATTGGTCTGACATATGTTGTAGACAAGATTCTGAATGATTCCTTACACACGTTTCTAAAGGAATTATGTTGGCCAACCTGGCATATGCCGCTGATGTTATCCCCTTGATATGGGCTTCAGGGGACAGGTCTGACGTGACATCGACACCCAGGTCTTTCTCTCTCTCTGATTCTTGAAGAATTTCATCTCTCAAATGATATCTTGTATCTGGTCTCCTGCTCCCTTCACCTTTTTTCATTACAATACATTTGTTCGCGTTAAACTCAAACAACATTTTGTTGGACCATTCCTTCAGTTTGTCCAGGTCTTCTTGAAGCCTCAAGCTGTTATTAATCTGTCTTAATCCTTCTCATAATTTTGCCATCGTCAGCCAACATTAAGAGAAATGAGTCTATACCCTCAGGGAAATCATTTACATATATCAGAAACAGGATAGGCCCGATCACAGAGCCCTGTGGGACTCCACTGGTGACTTCACGCCAATCTGAGGTCTCACCCCTCACTGTAACTCTCTGCTTCCTATTGCTTATGTACTCCCTTATCCCCTGGAGCACCTCTGTGTAATAATAAGAATAACACAGTTACCCTTAAGAACAAAGGTAACTGCAGAAGGCCTATTGGCCCATACGAGGCAGCTCCTATCTATAACCACCCAATCCCACTCATATACTTGTCCAACCCGCGCTTGAAACAATCCACCACGTTACGCGCGGTAATTGGTTCCACAAATCAACAACCCTGTTACCGAACCAGTATTTACCCAAATCTTTCCTAAATCTAAACTTATCCAATTTATACCCATTGTTTCGTGTTCTGTCTTGTGTTGATACTTTTAATACCCTATTAATATCTCCTTAACTACACGTTACCCAATGACCGGCTGTCATAGCATCAACACGAAGGGTCCCCGAGGTACTCACTTGCACCCTGTGGCCGGTACACTAGGGGCGAGCTGTACCTGCGTTAAGAGGAAGGGTACAGAGGCGGGGGAGGGGGTACAGCTGCCAGGGGTACTCACCTGGAGGAGTGGTGACGGAGGCGACCTGTGGTAGTCTCCTCCTTGGCCTCCAGCACCACCTTCGTCTCCGGGATGCCTACGGGGACACGAACACCTTTATTGAATAATAATAATAATAATAATAATAATAATAATAATGATTTGAATAATGAAATACAATTCAAAATAGACAAAATAATATTAACAATAATTCAATAACAATAATGTAATATAATACAATTAGTAAAATTAATACAAATGTTTTCTTTTATAGATAACTCTCCCTCTCCCCATATATAACTCTCCCTCCCCCCATATATAACTCTCCCTCCCCCCATATATAACTCTCCCTCCCCCCATATATAACTCTCCCTCCCCCCATATATTACTCTCCCTCCCCCCATATATAACTCTCCCTCCCCCCCATATATAACTCTCCCTCCCCCCATATATAACTCTCCCTCCCCCCATATATAACTCTCCCTCCCCCCATATATAACTCTCCCTCCCCCCATATATAACTCTCCCTCCCCCCATATATTACTCTCCCTCCCCCCATATATAACTCTCCCTCCCCCCATATATAACTCTCCCTCCCCCCATATATAACTCTCCCTCTCCCCATATATTACTCTCCCTCCCCCCATATATAACTCTCCCTCCCCCCATATATAACTCTCCCTCTCCCCATATATAACTCTCCCTCCCCCCATATATAACTCTCCCTCTCCCCATATATTACTCTCCCTCCCCCCATATATAACACTCCCTCTCCCCATATATAACTCTCCCTCTCCCCATATATAACTCTCCCTCCCCCCATATATAACTCTCCCTCCCCCCATATATAACTCTCCCTCTCCCCATATATTACTCTCCCTCCCCCCATATATAACTCTCCCTCCCCCCATATATAACTCTCCCTCTCCCCATATATAACTCTCCCTCCCCCCATATATAACTCTCCCTCTCCCCATATATTACTCTCCCTCCCCCCATATATAACACTCCCTCTCCCCATATATAACTCTCCCTCTCCCCATATATTACTCTCCCTCCCCCCATATATAACTCTCCCTCCCCCATATATAACTCTCCCTCCCCCCATATATTACTCTCCCTCCCCCCATATATAACTCTCCCTCCCCCCATATATAACTCTCCCTCCCCCCATATATAACTCTCCCTCCCCCCATATATAACTCTCCCTCCCCCCATATATAACTCTCCCTCTCCCCATATATAACTCTCCCTCCCCCCCATATATAACTCTCCCTCCCCCCATATATAACTCTCCCTCTCCCCATATATTACTCTCCCTCCGCCCATATATAACGCTCCCTCTCCCCATATATAACTCTCCCTCTCCCCATATATTACTCTCCCTCCCCCATATATAACTCTCCCTCTCCCCATATATTACTCTCTCTCCCCCCATATATAACTCTCCCTCTCCCCATATATAACTCTCCCTCTCCCCATATATAACTCTCACTCCCTCCCACCCTACATATAACTCCCTCTCTCCCTCTCATATAATCGCTGGCGTAACTCTCACTCAGTGACGTCATCGCCTATTTCAGGTGGCTCGGGGTCCGGTAATTAGGCCATAATTGCTGTACTTGTTCTGTAATTAGCAAAATAATTCTATGCAGAAATTTCATTACTCGTCGTAGGAGGCCGCGAGAGCTAGAGAGGGCCTGCAGGTGCCAAGATCACCTTGGGCTGCTCACTGATCTCCCCAGCCTCGTGGCGGGATATATCATTCATTAGAGATATCAAAATGTACATTATTTTCGTTTTGAGGTGGGGGGTGGTGGCGTGGGTGGCGGGGGGTGGCGGGGGGTGGCGGGGGGTGGCGGGGGGTGGCGGGGGTGGCGGGGGGTGGCGGGGGTCGTGGCGGGGCTGGTGGACGGCGGCGGGGGTGGCGTAAGCGTCCTCAACAACCCCAGACACATGGTGTCGAAGATATCCAGGCTGTGCTGCCAGGTAGCGAGCTTGGAAAGTTGCCACGGTGCGCGTCACCAGCGGGCTGGTGCCACGGGCTGGTGCCACGGGCTGGTGCCACGGGCTGGTGCCACGGGGGGGGGTGCCACGGGGGGTGGGGGTGCTTCCCATGCGTGTGTACGTGCGTCGTACCTGCCCACAGCTTATTAGTCCTATACAGCGAAGGAACGTGTAAGCTCCTGTGGGCCGAATTAGTGCACCGAAGACGGGAAGAGAGAGGGAAGAAGGGAGAGACGATGGAAGTGAAGGGGAAAGTGAAAACATGGGGCGGAGATGGACCGGGAAGAGAGGAGGAGGAGCTGCGGTGTGTGTGGACCAGTACGTCACCGTCTGGCCTGCCACCTCTACTGGCGTCTCGCCAGATGTGACGTCACGGCAGACGCCATCCACGCCCATCCCTGAAGAACGGTATCCCCCTATCCACCACTCCCCCCTTCCCCCATTCCACCGGGGCAAGACAAAGGGCTCAGCTGACCTCCCTCCCCCCCCCGCTCCTGCAGCTGTAACATAGGACACTCACTCTCACACTCTGACGTAGGCCGGGTGGTCATGACTCACGCTTTATTCCATAATTCGCAAGGGGTACTCACCTAGTTATGCTTGCGGTGGTTGAGCTCCTGCTCTTGGATGCCGTCTCGCAATCTTCAATCACCTGGTGTATAGAGATGTATCCACTCGTTCCAGGACGGACCGAAACGTCGTCGTCCCTTCACTTTCTAGTGTGTGGTCTGGTCGACATGTATCCACTCCTTTACTTCCAAGTTCATTATATCTCTCTCCTTCTCTGCCGCTCCAGCGATTATTGCTTATGATCATGTTGGCTGTGGGTCCATGTGCTCAGCCTTTGCCCAGACCTTCGTCTTAAACATCCTCTCCTAGTTCAACATGTCGTTCCCTTAGGGATTTTGTATATAGTGATCATGTCTTTCCCTTTTCGTATCTCCTTCAGTGTGTGCTTGCCTAAATGTGGTTAGCTAACAGTGAGTACGGTGTTTCCCACTACCTTGCATGGTGTACAAGTTAGGGAAACTGGCCTGTAGTTCAGTGCCTCTTTCCTGTCACCCTTCTTGTATATTGGGACTCCATTAGCTGTCTTCCAGCTCTCCGGTACGTCTCCTGTTTCCAGTGACCTGTTATACACCAAAGGGAGAGTGGCACACTTAGTGCTTCTGTACACCTTAAAGCTTTCGGGTCGGGACGGAGACATCTCTCATGTCCAAAATAATATGCAAAAAACTATGTGCTCTGTGTCTCTTTCACTTGAAGGGCATCAGGTACGCCTCTGCCTTTCTGCCTTCATCTGCTTGAATACATGCTTAAATTCCTATGATATCTGCCTTTGTTTTCCTATGGACTAGCCTCATTGTGCAAGGATTTGCTTAAATACTTGTTTGTGCCAGTCTAAATAGTGCTTGCTTGTTTAGGTGTGTCTAGATATCTGCGTGAATTCGTGTGGCTGCTTTTCAGTTTGTGATAATGAGTACACATCTGGTCGTCAACAAATGATTTATTAAACAATAATTTATGTAGAGGCATAACAGTAATGTGTAAACGAATATTCATCTAACTTTTCGGTTATGTTAAAAAATGTGGCTCGAGTTTACGAGAATCAAACCGGAGCGGAAAGGCTCTTTGTCGTGATAACCCCACGGGAGTTTACCGTAAAGGATGAAACCCACTTAGTATGTCTTTAATTCTTTGGCCAAAGATAGGTTTCGCATGCCACACTCAACTTTCAATTGAGTGTGGCATGCGAGTGGCTTCGCTTTTTGTATTGCCATACTTAGTTACATTTGCAGTTATGCAGCCGCCGTAGACTACATGAAGGGATACAAAATGTGTGTCAGCAGCTAGAAACGTGATGCCAAAAATCCCCATCTCGCGGGATGGTTAGTCTTTTTTTTTTTTTTTTTTTTTTATTAAGTTATGAGGTACATCTGCATTAGTGCAGCTACCCTAGACTATATGAAGTGGAGTACAGTGTGTCAAAAAAAAAGCTAACTAGGTGATGCTATAAAATCCCCATCACACAGGATGGTTAGTCATACAGAGACATGTGATAGGCGGTCTGCACTGGCAGACTCCGGATGCATTTTGAGGATATCAACAACACAAGATTGAATAAGGTAGCAGTGGTAATACAAGTCCCCATCTCGCAGGATGGTTAGTCATACAGGGCCATGTGTTTAATAGCCTGCACTGGCAAATTTTGGGTATACTGTGAGGATATCTTCAAGAATACGAGAGTGAATAAAGTAATTGCAAAGCTCCAGGTACCTCATGCCAACTGGTCTGAAAGGTCTAATAACTGGGCATTCAGTGATGTAGTGCGGGAGATCATGCCGTAGTTCCTGCTCACAGAGTTTGCAACTGGAGTGCTCAGGATTGGGAGACCCGTCACCTGCAGCCACCTGCCACAGGTAACGGTAACCCAACCTGATCCTTGCAACCACTGTGTCGCACAGTCTAGTGGACGTTTTGTGCTGTCCATAGATGTAGGTTTCAGATCTGAACAAATCATAGCTTTTTATACTAGTACTTTCAGGTCGTTGGGAGTCAGTAAGTTCTTTCCTATCAGATCTGAATGTTTGGACCAATACAGTTTTGACAGCAGAGATGGGGATACCTAGATCTAATTCAACTTCAAACTTGTTACACGCTAGTTTGGCTGCAATGTCTGTCTCATTATGATGGGTTATATTTATGTGTGAGGGTATCCATACAAAGGAGATTCGAGACCCTTTACTCTGTGCATCAATTAGGTCATTTATAATTGGGAGTATTAGGTTCTTGCTGTCGATCTTCCAAGAGAAGTTTTCGATTGCTTGAAGAGCAGACTTTGAATCGCAGAATATTATTCCTCCTCCAATATTTTTTAATGTGCTGGTTGCTAAATGTAATGCTGCTAGTTCTGCTTGTGTGGAGGTCAGCCAGTTGTTTAACCTGACACTGACAGACTTTGTGCAGATATTATTTCTATAAAACCTACATGCCGCTGCAGTCCGTCCAGTAGAAGACTGGACTGAGCCGTCGGTGTAGACACAGTGCTCGTGAGATCTTAGACTCTCGATGGAGGAGGCAATTGTTTCA